TTTATATTCCTGTTTGACGTTTAAATCCCTTTAAAACCAGGCATCAACCTATCTTTCCAACCTTAATATCCATACTCCCCTACAAGGACTCCTTGGTCCAGCCAAACCAGTCTTCTTACAGTTCCCATAAGATTCCCATCTTGAGACAGCTAGGTGGCACAGTGGATAGAGCACCAGTTCTGGAGTCAGGAGGACCTGAGTTCAAATCTGACCTCAGGCCAAACACTTAACACTTACTAGCTGTGTGACCCTGGGCAAGTCACTTAACCCCAATTGCCTCACCAAAAAAAAACAAAACAAAAAAATAAGCCAAAGACTCTCATCTCTGTGAGTTTGTTCAGGCTGTCCCCAGTGCTTGGAATATGATCCCTTCTCACCTAGGTCTCTTACAATCCTTAATTTCCTTCAAAGCTCAGTTCATATATCAAGGATATGAGGCCTTTCTGAATTCCCTCAGCTGCTGGTACTTCTCCCCAACCAAGTCACATTGTACTTTTTCTGTACTTCCATGTCTCCTCCAATAAAAATTTAAGTTTCTTGAGGGCAGCCCCTGTTTCATTTTTATCTTCGTATTCAAAGACCTAGTCTAGTAACTAGCATATACAAGGTACCTAATAACTCCTTGACGGTTGTTATGTTGAGAACTGATTTCTCACCACCCTCAAAACTGTTTTGCTTCCAGGACGGATCTCCACTGAGTAGACATGGTCTGGTCTACTGCACCACCTGGTCTTGTTTCCTTTGGAATCATTTCTATTTCCCTGCAATGTATAACCAGGACTATGACGACGGGGATAAGTTTCTCACAAGGCAGATCTTTTACATTTCCCTCCCATTTGTTGGTTTTTTTCCTAGTTCCATCTTATAGAACATAATATTCTTTAGGAGAAAAACTATTGTACTTTGTGAATGTATCTTCAACATTTATCACAATGTCTTGCACAGTGTAGGCATTTAATAAATACTTAATAAACTGAGTCCTTAAAGACTCTAGGGATGGTCTGGCTTAAGCAATTTAATTAAGATTCCTATAAACCTGCTTTTCCCAACACTGCTTCTAACAATTTCATGAAGTGATACTGCTCACAGTCTTCCTCTGTCTTCCACAGTACAATTTCATAAACACAATCTAAGCCATTGTTGCCGTTGCTACGGAATTTCTTTGCGTGGCAAGTACATCCAATATTTTACAGCTGACGTGTTTCTAGGCTTCTTTGGCCTCCCTGTTATAGCCAATGACTAACTACAACTCCACTTCCTAAAGAAATGGCGATATTCTGCAGGAGTGCTCTTTGGTCATTTCTTATTTTTTGTGGTCAATATATATTTCTAACATTTAGGCTGGGATTGTTTTTAATTGCAAGTTATCTCGTTTCCACTTTTATTCTTTCTTATAATTTGGTAATGATTTTGATTTTGGCTTTAAACAAGCTGATGGCCTGAATGCATACAGTTAAATGATTCTGAAATTATTCCTAGATTGGTAACCAGTCTGTTTCTGGAAAGATAAAGTCTATATTTCATTTTACTTAGGATAGTTGGTACTCACCAAGTTCAGCACTTCAGGACTCTTCTTGAAGAAAGTATTAACACTATATAGGAATGATATTTTTGTGTAATCTAAGGCATATATTGCCTTAGGTCTCTTTATTAATCTAGAATCAAACCGCCCACCATTGCATTCTAATGACTGAAAATTAAATTACATGTCAACTTAATGTGGAGGGTCTTATAAAATTCTTCACAGACTTTCTCTACTTCTTTGTACATTTAAACAACTGTTGGGAATGTAATCTACAATATTTTCATGGTGGCTTTCTTGTAAACATTTATTAAGGTCCCTGCAACATGAAATGACCACGTGTCCCATGAAGTGATGTCTCTTGCTGCCTTCAGATACATAGGAAAACCAACTTCAATTCCAAGGAGAGCCTGCAAGGTAGCCTTTCCTTTAGTTACAACTTACTTTTATCTTCTGGTTTTATATGTGGTGAGAAATCAATACTGACACGGGTTAGTTCCTCTAGAAGTACACTGATTCAATAAATCTCACATTTTGAGAATACCAATAGCTACTAGTCAGTCAACAATATTCCCTAATGTACCTATTGCGTGCCAGGCACTGTGCAAGCCAGGGATACAAAGAAAGGCAGAAAACGGTCCCTGTCCTCCAGCAGCTCACATCTGATGGGGGAGACAACATGCAAACCTCGACATATAAACAAGCTATATACAGGAATAACTGGGGATAATTCACAGAAGGGAGGCACTGGGATGAAGGAAATACTTACTCCTTTAATTCTCAGTCCATCTTTTTGGGTCAACCTGCCACCCAAACTGCAGAAACTGAAGAGAACCTATGTAAGACTGATAGACATTTTATACTTTTTGAATTTTTTTGAAAGACAGAAGGAAAAAAAGGCGGAGAAAGCATACTAGTTTCTTATCAAAAGGAATTGGTTTTGTTGCAGAAACAAGAAGGAAAAGACAGGGAAGAATTACAAATAGTAATAGTCCTCACTTACTTTAATTTACGAACACTTTAAAGTTTGCAAAGCACTTTCTCTATATTATCCCATTTGAAGCTCAAAACAATTCTCTGAGGTAGGCAGCTATAATTATCCCCATTTAATAAGTGGGATCTTGTCCAGGGTCACATAGATACTAGGTGTCTGAGGCAGGATTTGAACTCACATGGTTTTGACTGCAAGTATAGCACTCTATCTACGGTGGTCTATAGACTTTTATAAGAATCCTTCCAATGTGGATGCTAATAATTTGTACCAAAAATCTTATCTAGCTTTGCCAGAAAGAAACCAGCCAACAACTCTCCTAAACTGGGTGACTGGGATTTCCAGCATAATTTACAAATAAGCTCTACAGTTTTTGCTATGCTGAATACTGAATGATAAATACCACTATTCTTATTAATACTGACAAGCATGATGAATTCAGTAGAAAGGAGAAATTTCCAGGCTCTATGGTAGTGGCAAGTACAAAGGAAATTAAGTCATCCGGCTTTAAGTAGAGAAAATAAATTTAATCAAACAAAATTACTTGTGCGTTGTAAAAAAAAAAATTCAACTTAGATTACAGACTCTTAGTTATTTAACAAGCTATATTTTCGATCAGCTAATTTCCATTAAAGCAATGGCTGCAGAAAAAGCAAATTAAGATATGTGAATGTTCAGAAAAATTTCTAAGAGAATATCTTATCACTAATAGCATAGTTACACAGCATTATAAGCTTGATAAGGCATTTTACATACAGTTAATCATCTCTATCACTCTATGTGGCAAAGTAATTCAGGTATAATATGAGTGTCCTCATTTTACAAACCTCTGATGCTCAGAGAGGTTAAGCAAATTTTTGCCTAAGGTCACAGGGCCATGTTTTGACCTAGGTCTTCTGACTTCAAGTATAGCATTTATAGCACCATGTTGACTCCAACAACTTAATTAAAAATAAGATAACTGCATAAGATTAGAATATTAAATCTTAAATGACATTTTAGGTCATTTATGTTTAGGTGATGTCTGAAAGAAAGAAAATCATATATATCCTGTGTTTCTGGATTCTCTCCAACCAACACTCCTCAACAAAATCTATGTTAAAATGAAAATGAGGTATATGGTTTTATTTTTAGGGAGCATTTTTAAGGTTCTAGAATCCATGTCATCTAGCTTTTACAGTGCCAAACCATTTCTTAATGGCAAGATTAGGCACAGTATTGAAAATATCTCAATGTGATTTTTTTTTTTGGCTAGGCAATGGGGTTAAGTGACTTGCCCAGTGTCACACAGTAAGTGTTATGTGTCCGAGGCCGGATTTGGACTCTGGACCTCCTCAATCCAGGGCCGGTGCTCTAACCACCGCGCTACCTAGCTGCCCCACAATGTGATATTTTTAACCACACATACAAATTCATAAATTACAAAAGCAACATCAATATAGTAATAGGGCATCAAGTAAAAAAACCTAGAGTAAAGGCTGTCCCTAAAAACCAAAATAATGATATTTAAAAAAACTGAAACATTCAACCCTATTATTCTAATGAAAAAGAACTATGATGACTATCTAACTTTACCCATATAAACATGTAGTAGATTCTAAATAAAAATTTCTAAATAGAATCTTTCACCTTGAAAAAAATGTATAATTATTAATGAATGATATTCCTAATTAGCATTAAAAATGATACATAAAGACCAAAAGATCAGTGCAGTTTTGTTTGTTAAAAGGAAATCTAAAGAAGTTTGAGCAAGTATAAAATGGATAAACTGTTTATAAAAATAAAAAATTAAACATAAAAGTATACCACTGTTATTGACATGTTGATAATACAAGATGCTAAAAATGAACATGAGCTCACAAAAATACTGTGATTTCCAAAAACGGGGCTATGACCGAAGAAACTGAACTAGTCAGTTCAGTAGTAGGTTTTTGATAGAAATAATGTAGAGTCATATATGTCAAAAATGCCGTATGCAGCCTGCAAGTGAGGCCCAAACCAGATAAAAATTTATCTAGGAGATAATTAACAAAGTAAATAAAAATACAATAAAATATGGGGCAAGTAGGTAGCACAGTGGATAGAGTGCCAGGCCTGGAGCCTGGAAGATACATCTTCCTGAGTTCAAATCTGGCCTCAGCCACTCACTACCTGTGTAACCCTGAGCAAGTCACTTAACCCTATTCTGCTTCAATTTCTTCATCTATAAAACAAGCTGGAGAAGGAAATGGCAAACTACTCCAGTATCTTTGTCAAGAAAAACCCAAATGGGGTCATGAAGAGTCAGGCACAACTGAAACAAATGAACAAAAACAATAAAACATAGATAACATTACATTTTAAAGCAAGGTAATTTGTGGCTTCTGGGGTTGTTTTCATATGGCTTAGTGGTTCCTGTTTTCTATTGGAATTTGACATCACTGCTGTAGATGAACCAAACAATTAACATTATTTATACTTTATAAGATCGAAAAAAGAGATACTTACTACAAACCTACTATGCACTTTTTCTAAAATTCTCTTTTCATTTAATGCCATAGATTCTCCTTTCCTCTTCTTAATTCTCTTTTTTTCCAGCTTTTTACAAGCATACATTTTTCCTGTTGCCCGTACTTGGCAGGCACATACCTAAGAGCGAAAAAAAAAAAGAGCTTCATATGCTTCTGATGTTTTCTAGTCTAAAATGATCTTTTATTCTGTTAATTTTATTTTTAAAATTTTATTTAAAAATTTCTTCTCTCTTCTGAATCCATCTAAAGCAATGAAGAACAGAAAAATCCAATCAAGATCATCAGAAATCTGCAAGCAGGCTACAAAGACATACTAAATTTTAAAATGGTATATTTTTTGAACTCATTATACTTTCCAAGACTCTAAGCTGGTGACTAGGTCTGAAGTCAGAAGACTAGCATTTGAGCCCCATCTCTGATACTGCTTAGAATATACCTGTAAGTAAATCACAACCTCCTTCAACCACAATTTTCTCACTAATAAAATGGGGATAAAATGTGAATTGTCTCCCTCAAAGGGTAACTGAAGGAATATGCTATATAAATGTGAATTATTATTTTAAATTTAAATTACATTAAGTGAAAAAGCAAAAATTGCCAAGATAAAAAAGTCAATACATTTTTACTTTAGTAATTGTCTACTGCCTCTAGGATTAAATACAAATTACTCATCGAAAGTCTTTCAGTCTGGCTAGCTCCTCTCCTGTTCCGGACATTTCACAGGATACTTCCTTCCCTCCATCCTGCCCATCATGCACTCTGTGCTTCAGTCAAATTGGTCTTTTTCTTTCACACTCCACCTCCATCCATATTGTCTTGGCACAGGCTGGCTTGAATACCAGGAATTCACTCTGTTTAACTCTGTGCCTTCAACGGCCAGTCAGTCCACCATCATACATAGCTCAGGTGCACTGAACAGAGAAAGCCTTTCCTGAGCCCCTAGTTATTTGTGCTTTCATCAAATTCTGTTTCTTTCTGTGCAAATGTGCCTGACTCTCTAACTCACAGAATGTAACCCTTTAGAACAAAGGTTGTGTTTTCTAGCCTTTATCCCTGGAGCCTTGCAGTGTAGTAGCTCCTAAATAAATGTTTATTGAATTTAATATTAAGGCAAAGAAAGAACTTCAATAATATTGGAAGAATTACTTGGAAATCTATTTTTCAGGAATTGATTCCATTTAAGTCTTATGACCTTTTAAAACCAGATAATTTAGATCTGTCTTTTGGAAGATAACAAGAATGAAGTAGAATCTATGAGGACAATAACATACTGGAAGGTTTCCAAGTTTGAAAACAGATTGTTAGGCATTATATATAGACAATCAATGCATATATTATAGCCTATATTCAGGACTCTGACCAGTTACGAGAAAAGTACTCATCTTTTGATGCTCAAATATAGACATTGATTTGGGGCCATTTAAATGCAAATATAAAATCATTCTGTTAGCCAATAACATAAAGTGCTTACTATGTGCTAGGCACTGTGCTAAGTGTGAAGGATACAAATAAGAAAAAAAGAGTTCCTGCCCTCCAGAAGCTTACAATCCAAAGGGCAAAGATAACAAACATAGAAAGCTAAAAGGGGAGAAGGGGGAAAAGGAAGGCACCCAGTGGAGGGGCATGGTTGTAGATGAGCCAAATTAGTCCAAAATGAGTACTGCTGAGTGGGAAATGAAGCGACGTCTAACTTATCCTTATTTCTTAAACAGAGTTTATGACTCTGTTCTCCAATTAGAGGGGTAGAAGGGGCAGATGAGGTTTAAGTAGCAAGGTTGATTGGCTCTTGTAAGATTATAAGACTTCCTAGTAACAAGTTTTTAAAGGGCATGGTGGACAAGTCAAATTTGTCAAAGATCTTTGAGAAGTAATCAATGAACTTATTTAATGGTATGTATGAGGCCTTGATAACTTTTCAGAGATAAGCTTGAAAGAAAAAAAAGGAAATTGATTCTCATTTGGGCAGGAGCTTATTTGTTCTGCTTAGCTCTAGTCAAATTTGACACCACTTTTATTAGCTCTCTTTCTAGTGTGAAGCATACTTGGGTCTTCAATGTCCTAAATATTTCTTTGCACTGGATGGGTTCCACATAATTTTTACAGGAATTCCTTGTTTCAAATAGATAAATTTCTATAACCATACTGATAACACAGCAAAAAAAGCAACGAGTTGAAAAATCACACTAAGCTAGAAGAGACTTCAGAAGTCACTTTTAATCTAATCTAACACCTATCTAATCATAATAGTTTATTTGTTTCAAGTAAAAACTGAATGTGTTCAATTTAATCTACAATTTAAGTCTTGACCCTGGTGTCTTTAAAAAGTGTCTCTTTTCCTCATAACAATTACAACTTGCTAAAATATTCATGTCAACCTCCAATACATTTAGTTTGGGAGAGGCAGGAAAAAGGAGTTTTGTTCCTAGAACATTTTTATTGGGATTCATAAAACTTACATTAAGTCCTAGAATCAGAGCTGTAATGAATCCCATAGAGATAATTTATTTAACACCTACCCTCATTTTATGAATAAAGAAACTGAAGTCCAGGGAGGCAAATAGGGGGAAAATGTGATTTCTTAAGCAAGAAACATAATAATTAATACTGCCTGGCATCCCAATTGCGGAGAATGGTTGTGTAAGAGAAAGCAGATACATACATACATACATATATATATATATATATATATATATATATGTATATATATATGTGTGTATGTATATAGTATATATGTATATAGTATATATGTATATATGTACGTGTGTATGTATGTGTATATGTACGTGTGTATGTATGTGTATATGTATGTGTGTATATGTGTATGTATGTATGTTTGTGTATATGTGTGTGTGTATGTATGTATGTATGTATGTATGTCAGGAGAAACCAGATTAGAGGTATGGTGGTAGGGCATAATATCTAACATCTGCCCTGAAAAGTCCTTTGCTCCATCTCTTTCTCTTTTGCCTTCAAACCGGTCCAGCAGCAGCCCCCAGCATCAGTGATGGATTTGTGATGCTACTGATGGTTGATCTGAGGGGAGAGTACCCACACCTATACATAGTTGCTCCCAATCTCGTGTTTCTGGCTGGTCAGATGGGAGTCTCCTTGAGGGCAGGGGTCTTCTTCTTCTGGGAACTCCAGCCACTACAGCCTCTCTAGCACAAGACCACTGAGAGTCAAAGAAATCTACCAGTTTCAAAAGTGTGCCAACCTCCTCAAACCAAAAATCCCCTTCAAAGCTCTCTTTCTAGTGAGAACAAGTGTGTCACACGTCTACCAGAGAACTGAACCATCTGTGGCAAGGTTATGGATGGAGACAACAGATATCTTTATGATCCATACATCAGACAATCCCTAGCTCCTCTTCCATAGCTATCCAAAAGAAGTGCATTAACTTCCTCATGTTAGAAAGTCCCCTTCACAAATTCCTGGCTTCCTTTCTCATCCTGAAACATATCTCAAGTATATCAAAGGAGGAGACTAGTAGAGTCAAAGGCAAAGATTTTACCTCCACTTTTGAGAGAAATGTACTTCAGGGATACCAAAGAACTAGATTGCTAATCGCAAGATCAGGACTGGAATGAATTGCTAAACAAAGGAGAAACACTTATATTTGAAAAAATTTCCCCCCCTCCTCCAACAATGCTAAAAAGGAAGCATTTCAAACTCTTCATCTGGAAAAGTGCCCTACGCAGCCCTCCCTTCCTGGAAAAAAAAAAAACCTCAAGGATGCCAGAGCAAGGGACTAATGGAAGCATAGTCAGGCCCTTTTTAAAAAGCTCCACCTTCCCTAGGGAGAAACGTGCCTCAGGTATAACAGATAGCTAGACCATCAATGGTACACATTAATACAAACTGTATGTAATCTGTCCATTAGAATATAGCTTCCTTGCGAGTAGGGACTGTTTTCATTTTCATCTTTATTTCCTTAATACCTAAGCTCAGTGTCTAGCACGTTCTTATCAAATTGAATAAGAGTCTTTTACCCATGAATAAGAAATCAGCGTTACCACAAGAAACGTGAGGTGAGGTTTCTGGACAAGATGGACGCCTAAACAGGAGGCCCACAAACAGAAAAATTCATCGAACCAAATAATGATCAAGAAATCCAAACGAATCATAAAACCAGCCAGAAGGCCACGGGCAACAGGAAACAGGCTAGTCGGCAAAGTTATTGCCAGCCTCGGCACGTAGATCTGGCGTCCCCACACTATTGGACCAGAGATACGTATAACCTGCAGCACTCTGTGTCTAGAGACAGAAAGTGCAGAAGGCTCCTCTTAGAAAATCCCACAGTGGTCAGAAAGCCCTGAAGATCTACCACTCTGAACCTCAAAGATTCAGGGGGTCCTAACCACAGAAGAGGTTAAGCAAGCATTCAGGGGACCCCGGATGAAAGCAATCAGGGCCAACAACCCCACCTAAAAGTGGCAGAGTCTGGCCCTGAGAGAAAGTGGGAGTTCTAACTCAGGAACTAAAGCTGGAGAGATGAGTAAATTAAAGAAAACATCAACCAGTATAAAAAAATTAGTCTCTGCAACAACTGCAAGCAAAGCCTCAAAGAAAACAATACATCTTCCACAAGGATGACATGAATACATAGAAGAAATGAAGTAAGAAATAAATGAGATAAAAGCTTGGGAGCAAAGAACCAAAAGGACAATAAATAGCTTAGAAGGGAAAGAGCCAAACGTTACCCAACAAATGGATAAAATCTGAATAGAATAGAAATCAATTGACTCCATGAGAGAGCAAGAAATACTAGAACAAAATTTAAAAATAGAAGAAAATGTAAGATATTTCACATAAATAAAGAAATGACCTGAAAAAAAGTCAGGGAGAGATAATTTAAGACTCAATGGATTCCCTGAAAACTACAACTAAAAAAACCAAAAAGCCTAGACATTATATTTTAAAAAATCACAAATGAAAACACTCAGACCTATTAGAATCAGAAAACAAAGATAGAAAGAATCTGTCGATCACCTCTTGAAATAAATCCCCAAAGGAAAAGTCCCAGTAATGTGTTATCCAAAATCCAGAGCTATCCCACCAAAGGAAATATGCTACAAGATTTCAAAAAGTTGTTCAAGTACCAAGGAACTACAGTCAGGA